ATGAATCTTCTAGCATTCCAAAGAGACTGTGGGATTAACCCAAAGCTGGTAGTTTTTTTTAATAGAGATTACTGATTAAATAAATGCACACAGAAAAATTTTACTGTATTTTATGATCTGTGAAAAACCGTTTGTTCTAGGGACCAGAAGTTAGCATAATGGCTATGTCGCTGGACTCCCCTGTAGTCGACTGCGGTTCACGTCCCAGACCCGGTGGTTTAAAACTCACGCCAGGCGCATGTGCGTGCGTGCCCAAGATCCCGAGAGGAGAATGGAGAAGGGATTATGGCATGGTCATCCCCCCTGGGGAATGATTTCTTGCTTTCTGTCTCTCTGTTTCTCTCTGTCTGTCTGGCAAGCGCACGCACCCTATAGCAAAAACCTCTCAAAAAAAAAAAAAAAAAGAAAGAAAAAAACCCGTTTGTTCTAAAACTGTCTTGAGAAATTATCATGCTTATGACCATAGACATAATTTTTCAAGCCTATGTGTCTCAGAGTATGATTATACGGTATGCGTTAGGCAATTAAAAATGATAGAAAGACAGAAATCAGGTTATAGGTTGTATCATAATCCACCATTAGTATTTGAATGACATTAGGTTTGAGAAGCAAGGACTTATAAAACCATGGGACTAGATGATAATGAACCAGGACACCCTATTCTTTAAGCAAGTCACAAGATAGAGTTTCTTCGCCATCATTTAGTAAGGGAAAATATAAAGCAAACTACATAATTTTATTAATAAAGAAAATTTCAAGCATTATCATGCTTGAAAAACACTGCTCAAATAGTTAAGCTCGTACACGAAAAAAAAGGCCTAGAAGATTATGATGTAAGTCAAGATTTAAGACAATTTAAATACTATCTACTATCCACCAGATCTAATGTTTACATATTAAGAAGAGCTTTGTACCAGAACTGTCCTGTCATGTTTCTGCCCAGAGGCTGTCATGATAAAGTTTATTATCAATTACTGCTTTACAAGTATAAAATAAGTTAAGCTGTCATAATTTTCTCACCCAGAAATCCTAAACTGTCAAAGAATGTCAATTTTTAATCTGACATAGAGAAGAAAATTATCTGTTACTCTGACCTCTAATTTCTTGACATTTTAATGCTATAATTGCTGTGGTTAGTGCTGCTTCATGGGTTCACCTGTCAAGGAAGAATGAATCAATAACCTTAAGCCATTTCTCAAGTTTTAGCACTAACTTCAAAGTTCAACGTTATAGTCAGATTGTAGATTGTTATCATTTTCTTTTTGGATGAAGTAAACATATATTGATACCCATATATTAATATTTTTTCTTGTTTAAAAAAATCAGTGTTCAATTTCAGCATTTAAAAACACCCATCTTTCCTAGGCAAGCTGGAATTTAGTATAAGATAACTATAACTAGGCTTGCTTTGGTTTTATCTATGAGGAAATCTTTGCATTTTAAAACTACAAAGATAAACATTATCAAATAAAAGGAATGTGTTAAGATCAATTAAAAGGGTTAACATTTTGGTACCAGCAGTTGGCGTAATGGCTATGTTGCTGGACTCTGACCTAGTCGACCGTGATTCGAGTCCTGGACATGGTGGCTTAAACTCATGCTGGACGCATGTGCGTGTGTGCAGATCACAAGAGGAGAATGGAGGAGAACGGACTGTGGTGTGGCCATCCCCCCAGGGGGTGATTTATTGCTTTCTGTCTCTCTGTCTCTCTCTCTTTCTGGCGAGCACATGCGCCCTATGGCAAACAAACAAACAAACAAACAAAAACAAAAAAACACCTCTCAAAAAAAAATAGGGTTAACATTTTAAATTGCCTCATATCTCACCATGGTACATCGATGCTGACGTCCAGTAGCTCATCATGAGGGTTTTCAAAAAGGGCATCACGCCTGTCAGAGGGTCTACTCACAGGGGTAATGCATAGGTAAGAGGGCCTAAATGACAGCCTAGTGTGAATATGCCATACCTCACTCCATTTATTTACAGAGCTCTTTCTTGTGCTAGGAGATGTTAAGTGCTTTATTTTGGGAAACATATGTATTATTCCTCTTTAGTGCATGACATTTTGTTGGAACATATTAATTTATAATTGGCTAACTGGCATTAACATTAATGGCAACATATTAGGGAGGTAATGGTGAAGAATGGGAGAGGGGAAATTAACTCGTATTCCTTGAAATAATTTAATCTGTTATGTCTACATAGTACTAAATGGTTTGCTAGTGGTCTCAAAGAGATAAAGTATCTTCCTGAGCAATCTTGTGTTGACTCAGGCTCACAGGGTCAGGGCCAACATGGTGTGTGCTCAGGCCTATGCTGGCTGGGGGAAGGAAGGTGACAGTATTCCAGGTATGTGTTCTTTCATACCTAGTATGCCAAGAACTGGCAGTAATTGGGTTGGGAAGATGGGCAATGGTCTTAGAGACTCTGTATCTGGCAGTTATGTGCTCAGAATGACAATGATGAGAAGAGACAGAGTCCTGAACTAAAGCACGCTAGTGTTATACTTTACATCACTATGAGGTAATAAGGAGCCAAAAGATAACATACTGCTCAGTCCATCTATGTAATAAACAAATATGTAGTCGAACCACTCCTACCCAGCAACCGTGACAACCACAAAATTATACATTTTCATGTAATGTTTCATTAGGAAGTTCCACAGTTTAGTAATAAAGGCCTATATATATATTTTTTTTTTTTCCCCAATGTCCAGTACTACGGTGTGATTTTTTTGTTGTTGTTGTTTTGGAGAGGTTTTCGCTATAGGGCGCGTGCGCTCGCCAGACAGACAGAGAGAGACAGAGAGACAGAAAGGGAGGACGGTCACGCCACAATCCCTTCTCCTCCATTCTCCTCCTGGGATCTTGGGCACGCACGCACACACGCCTGGTGTGAGATTTAAGCAACCGGGTCCAGGACGCGAACCACAGTCGACTACGTGGGAGTCCAGCGACATAGCCATTACACTAACTGCTGGTTCCCTATGGTGTGATATTTTGTAGAAGCAGGTATTATTGTGAGACTCAAACAATAAATGCTACAGTTTTTCAAAGCATGTATAGTGTGTAATAATCAAATGAAGTAAATAAACATATTTATACCATCTCTGAAAAAAACACTATATCAATGTAAACAAAATATCAATTCTGATTCTATTTTCATTCATTTAAATATAAAAACCATGCTACTTTTTCTGTCAATTACAATGGTGCCTTGTACTTTCATTTCATTAAGATACTTAATATATTTTTATTTTGCCCGAGGATTAACTTGCAACTTTCTTTATAGGACTGAGCTTTATTGTAATGGATAAAATGTATAATAAAATACTCAGGAACAAAAATGTCTATGAGGGGCCAGCAGGTGGCATGGTGATTAAAGTGCTAGACTCGCACATGGCTGACTGTGGTTGAAGTCCAGGGCCCAGTAGCTTGAAAATCAAACCAAAAGCATGTGTATGCTTGCCCAGAATCCTGAGAGGAGAATAGAGAAGAAGAGACTGTGGTGTGGCCATCCCCCCTGGGAGGTGATTTCTCACTTTCCTTCTCTCCATCTCACTCCAGAGAGCACATAGGCCCTATGGGGAAAAAAAAAAAAAAAAAAAAAAAAAAAAAACACCACACACACACTGTCTATGATATTTAAAGTCAAAAAATGATTTGGTCTTGGAATGTAAAAAGGGAGTAATTCCAATTGTTTTCTTTTTCTGATTCTCAAAGGTATTGGTTCCAAAAGAACCAATTTATGTAACAGGCATGTGTTGAGCACAGGTGTAGAGTTACGAGAAAAATTAAGCTCTGACCTCCATCCACATAATCTGAATTCAGCTTATACATACCTGGAGATACTAAGTTAAGTGAGTGTAATCGTTTGTCAAGAAAACCACTTCTTTTGTCTAGTAATTTCATAATACCGGGCTTCTCTCCTTCCTTCATTCTGTTCCCATTTTTTTTCTCTTGACTTCAGGCAATAATTCCATTTCTGTGTGCATACAATATGGTATAATATTGCCCCTAATAACATGCTTGCAATGTGTTTTCTGAGTATTTAGCCCTCAGGGTTCAATGATCAATGACCATGAGGCTCTTCTCTTCCCTTTTCTCTTCTCTGCTTGGAGCCATACAAATGGAGTCATTTTGGTTTTATAGAGGTATATAAGAAACAACTTTATGGATTAAAATTTTTTAGTAGGGCTTCATTTCCCAAATTTACATGTTTCCCACCTATATAATTAAAAATAAAAAAATAAAAAAAGCTTTCCACTGCCTGGAAATGTAGAGATGATTACTTATTTTGCATATGGCAGATGGCAGATATCTGGTAGAATGGAAGATTGGGATATAGCTTCCTTGCAGCAACTCTTAAGTGGCAGCTGTTGTATCTTCACTCTTTTCAC